GGTGGGTGTCAGGGATGTTGAACTAATACTGTTGGCTGAAGGTCACAGTTTCTTTTGGACCTTCTGTGAAGGCAAACAGCTAGACGGACTGCTCTGCACATTGCCACTCTTTCATAGAGTCTTTCTCAGGGCCCCATGAGGCTAGGCCTGGCTCCAGAGTAAGTGATAAATGTGAGAATTTTAAGTGGCAAACTTCAAGTGGACCCAGGTGACTGCAAAGCATTAAAATTGCAGGGGACTTTGCGGGCTGACCCTGATGGCTTAGTGCTTTACCATTAACAGTATTTTGCCCAGAGCAGGAATAAAAATTGTAACGCTTGACCACATGCCTTGTTTTCTGATGCAATGGCCTTGTTGGTAGCTCAAGTCCCGAAATTATACCTTTTCCTCTTTCATATAGATATGCACACCAAAATCCAAGAAGAGGTAATGTTCTGTCAGCCAGATAGACAGCCCCAGGTTGCAAGTTCTCTACTCCTTCTTCAGGTGCCACATTAGGACAATGCTGAGGAAGACCACAGGCACTTGTACAGGAGAGATGTCCTACTCCATCAAGATGTCCCCATGAGCTGTGCCCTGTGGAATAAGTTCTCACTACTCTACACTGTTGTATTCTAGATACAGAGTCAGAGACTCCCTGTGGAAGGCTGGTAGCACAGGTCTGGGTCCAGGTCCTGGTCTGGGTTTTGTACCCTCTCTCACATTCTTGTTACTGAGAATAACTAGTGAACAATGCTGACATTTTGGAAAGATTTTGTTTTGTTTAGACAAGAGGGTAGATCACCCAAGTGGATGGTACAGACAAGCTGGAGCAGAATGATCCTTAGCATCAGCTGCAGTTGCAGCAAAGTCATGAAGCAGAAGAGCCGTGTCCAAGTGCACTACATGTGTGCTGCTGTGCGACAGTTGTACTTATTGCAGGCCCACAAGCCTGCATGGAGGTACGGATGAGGTGTTCCAGCTTGCTATGGGTAGGGTGCTGACATAGTAATGTGATATCTCTTGAATAACGCAGGGCTTTCCTCAGTGTTAACCTGTGTCAGGTCTCTGGAGGTCAGTGTGAAAATACAGTATTCTAGAAGCCCATTTTATGATGTACTTCTGAACACCTCTCTAAATGGCTCATAATCAGTAAAAACTAAATGGAAGGTACTCAATCATTATCTTTCACAATATCACTATTTTTTCACTGTTAAAGTGCAAATTTTTCTTTGCACAGCCATTGGTGTGATGCACTGTGTTATTTTGACAAACGCTTTTGGATTTTATAGTCGATATACTCTCAGTATGTAGCCTACATCATTTCTGAAGTTGGCCTAAAATCACACCAACTGACTCCAGACTATGCTTTGCTTTAGGTTGCTGAATTTGGCTTTCAGAGCCCAGCCCAGGTTCCATTAAAGTCGGTAGGATTCTTTCCCTTGGCTTTTACAGGACTTGGCTGAGATCCAAAGTGTGTAATTCCTGCTCTCCTCTCCCCCCCTCCCCAGATATTCTTAAAGAAAGTTGTAATATAATCTGAAGAATAACCATATTGAGCCAGGTTTTCAGTTCCTATAAAACAACAGATTTCTTCAAGTCAGTAAAACTATGCTCACTTACATGAGCTAAGATACGGCCTAATATCTCTTTAATAAGCCATAAAGCTCTCTATGAACTCATTTATGTGAAAGTCAGAACCACTTAAACTCCATTACATTTTGATTCTGAAGTCCTGTGTAATGACAGCTAAGTTCATCTAACTTTCGTGAAACCTTTTTCATGCTATCTCATGATATAACCTTAATGCATACCAAAACACTCCATAATTTCTCCCTCTGTGATGCTATTGTCTGGTACTCTGTTTTCTCTCATATTTTCACTTAACCACGGATTCTACTGTTCTAATTTAAAGACAAATTCTAGAGAAAACAGCTCTTGTGACAGCCCTACTTCATAGTTAACAGAAATAATGATTTATGTCAGCTGTAAACAAATGTTGGATTTTATTTTACCTGAAGGGTTTTCTCAGTTTTGATTGGCTGCGTAGCACTGTGAAAATACATGAATGTCATGAATTAATTTTCCACTGATTACTGACTAATAAACTTTGTTTATGTCATATCCAAACCTTTTTTTTCACAAAGTTCTTCCTGCAATGGAAAAGCTGAATTGGGTGGATTATAAAATCTCAAAATTTTGATCTTCAGCTGAAATATGTTGGGGTGGAAACTGCTTTTTTAGTTAGAAAGTAGACTATGTCATATATATTTTATTAGTTTTTAATTTTTTTTTTAGAGCTCCTTTGTACTTCCGTGAATCTGAAGCAATTTTGAAGCTGGCAGAATTATTCTAGATTTGTGCTGGTGTTACTGAAATCAAAATGCAGCTATAGGAGTATAATGGTGCTTTTGTGCCACAGCACAGCATGAACAAATGACCAAATTTAGGCTGTAGGAAAACCCAGTCTATATAAAAAGCAAGCATTCAATGAATTTTGTATTATAATAATACAAAAAAGAGAGGAAAGACGGAAGACGTATATTTAACCTGAGCATCAGGAAATAACATACCAGCAGGAGGTTTTATTTGTCTGTGCAGTAGTCCCGAAGGGTAGTTGAACCCAATATGCTTTTTACAAACTTTCCATACCTACCTCTTAATCAAAAGCCCAGATACGAGCTGCTGGTGGAATGCGAACCCCTCTGTGACAATATGGAGGAGCTACGGTACTGCAGCAACAGTGAACTCCTTCCCACGGCAGCATGTCATGTTGTAAAGGGGCCAAAAGTAGCCTTTAAAGTGCTTTTACTTCAAAAGTTTTGGGGCATTTCTCAAATACTTTTTTAGGCATTTAAAGAGGAGAAAGCTGCTAAATAAAACTCTGTAAACTCTGTTGTCTCAAGCCTGTGTCACCATTTGAACTGCAGTTTTCAAACTTGATGTAAAAAACATTTACTTTTTTTGTGATATATTGTGCAGACTAAAGACTTGATTCAAATCTCATACCATTGAAGTCTGATCATACCGCTGTAAGTTCAAAATGAAGTCCTGAAACTAAAGAACAGAGCTTGAGAGGAAAAGGTATGATTGATGAAGATGCCAGTCTGATTCTGCTTTCATACCAATGTAAATCTAGAGAAAAACTTCACTGTGTATGGCGGAGAAGCTAACTTTCCTACTGCACGCAGCATACAGTCATAGTATTTGAGAGATGTTAAGTGAACTCAGAGTATTTGACTATGCCCTCAGTTATTTAGGATGGATCAGAATTAACTTCATTTTTCACTATCTATAAAACCAAATTGACTTCCTACAGTGTATATAAAAAGCCAAAATGTTGAAACAATAATTTTCTTCACGTAAAAACCTTTTAAAGGGAAAATTTTCAAACATGATTTCATCTGCAGCTGCTTATTTGAATGGAGAGTTTGATTCATTTTAAACTTATCCTAATTTTCAAACTTCAGAAAGTTCTACCAATACTAGTTGTATTAATTCCTATGCTTTTTTCACTCCAACCGAATCCGTCTACCTCATGTAACAAAAGTCAAACCATACATTTTTCAGGTTTTTTTTTTTTGAAAACTAAAATTGTTGCATTTTATTATCTAGGATTTTGTTTGTTTGGGTTTTTTTTTTTTGTTTTATTGTCTATACTTCATGTACTAATCTAAATTGCTCTATGTTACAAAAAGTTTATGTGACGCATAAGTCTCAGAGCTGTCAACCTTCAGGGGAATTTCAGATGTGTAGAATAATCCATATATACATCACAGCCATAAATTCAAATGTCATTATCCAGACTATGATAAATACATTCTGGCATTCATACATTCTGTCTGAGGATGTCTGCATGGAGGTGGAGCTTTTACAAGGCAAATTTTTAATTTCTTGAGCTATGGCTAAAAGATGTTTGCCATTTCATGAGATGCATTAATCAAAGCATTTTTCACTACCTGAATTACAACGTGGCTTTCATAGAAAATGCTATTTTATGATACCCAGCTGGTATTTATTTTACCGTTCTGAGTGGAAAACTGGATGAGAGAAATTGCCAACTGAAATCACAGGTGCAGACATTAGAGAAGTTACATGTTTACTTTGTGAAAGATTTTATTTGAGTTTAGGCAGAAATTGGGTGTGGATCTTGAGGATATGTATTTTAGAGATAGGTACCTAATTTAGCGGTTCGATCCTTATGTCCTAAGTAGTTGTGTTCATGTACCTAAGTCCTACATACTGGCTTTAGGTTAGCTGCATACCTGGATAACTTAAGATTGCTTTATGGGTCAGGCCCCAGTGTTTCTGGAATAAAGACAGCAAGCATAAACAGTGGTGAAACTTCCCACTAATAACAACCTGGAGACCTTTCTTGTACTTTCATTTACAATTCAACGTAAATTCACGTATCTCCAAACGGTTCAGGGTATTTTATTTCTTACGTCCCTCATTAGACTGCTTTAGTTACAATATACGTCAGCAATGTTAATTTGTTAAAACAAATGGTACTTCATTTTCTTAAATAACTTTTGGATATTTTAGGAGACAGAGGAGATTGTGCTGGTTGTTTGCCATTCACTAGTCCTTTTATATGGATCCCTTTCCTATAGGGAAAAGGCAGTTTCAAGACATACAAAATGGTGTCTTTACTAACAAGGTTTCAAGAAATTCATCTGAAAAACATCTCCAGGTTCCCTAACATGTTTATACGAAGCACATGAAGAACAGCATCACTCACTGCTATGGGAAAACATATAGCAATGTTTACATAAAATATGAAAATCTTTAGTTTTAAGTACTACCTCATTTTCTTACAGTTTCTATTAGTTTACTTAGTTATTAAACTGAAGTACAAATAATTCTGGTTTTTTCCTTTCCTTCTGTGGTAAAGCAGATTGCTAACAGGTATCTGTGGTCTCGTAATTAAAGTAAGCACAATTTTTCCAACAGAAGTGTGATTTTCCAGTGAATGGTTCACCTTCAAGATTTCATATTTTGTTCTGTATATGTAATTCCAGATGCTGCACAACAAACACGTGATGGTTCGTGTTGGAGGAGGATGGGAGACTTTTGCAGGTTACTTGCTGAAGCACGACCCATGCCGAATGTTGCAGATCTCACGAGTAGATGGAAAAACTTCTCCAATCCAGAGCAAGTCTCCAACCCTCAGGGACATGAATCCAGACAATTATCTTGTTGTTTCTGCCCATTACAAAACCAAGAAGGAGATAAAGTGAAATATGCTTCTCATGTGATTGGGACTTTATGTATGTAGGTCCAAATTATTTTCTCAAGTGTAGTAAATTTAGTTTATGCTTTAAAAGGACTTCAGAAAATTTAAGACAGACTGAAAATGGCAACCCATTTTGAAGATCTTTGAATTGTAGAACTATTTATTTCTAGTACTGTACCTTTTATAGCAAATTACCCTTGATAGGCTAATTACTACAATCAGATAAGAAACAGACATATATTTTTAGCCAAATTATTACTCTTTAATATGTGAATGTATACTTAGAATTACATAAAGGAGTGGATCATGTTAACGGAAGAAAATACACAGTACAATATATTAGTATGAAACTCTTATGACATTGAATCCTTGACTGTTAGGCTAGTTGAAAAATATCTATGCAGGTAGAAAATGAGTATTTGTGGAAATTATTTGGTAATGCCTCCTCAAATGAAATCAAAATTGTCTATTTTTATGGGTTGCAAGATTTTCTTAAGCAAGAGAAGAAAATATGAAAAGAATTATTATTGCATGCCAAGCAATTTCCCAAACTGAGCACTTAACAAAAAGCCCAAGAAAATAACCCCTTTATACTCTCTATAGCTAAAGACAATGCTAAGTGCCAGATCTGTATGTAGAGCCTTCCTGATTTTTACACATTTGCCCAATATAGAACCAAAGGGAAGTCGAGAGGTTGCCCCTTCCTCTATCAGACAATAGAGGTGGCCAGTTGTCCCAGCAGGGTGAGGCGCTGCAACCCATGACGGAAGCAGTGAAAGCTGCACAGCCTTCCTTTCACCGGGTGGGAGCTTCAGAAGACGCTAGTCCTTCCTGCATCAGAAAACACTACACTGTTCTTGAATCTGAGCTTTTTCTTCCTCCTTTTTCTAATTCAGTTAGTCATGCCAAATGTAAAATATTCATTACCCTGTCAGTAGAGTGATTCACATTCTTGTAAATCATTCACACACCTCTAAAATAGCTAAAGGCATATTGGGGCTTGGTTCATAATTGTGGCTACTTTTCTTTGTCTATATTTGGTAATTTATGTGCTTTGTAACGTCCTAGAAAAAGCATTTTATAGGATTATTTGACTGACTGTATAAATTTGAGCAGAACTCAGTTGTTTCATTAGCAATGAAATAAACAATTTTTTTAAAATACTCATACATATTGAAAGTCTTATTTATTATTTGTAATCTATATTCTTGCACTTTGCTGCTACTGGCTGGATGCCTACAATATAGGACTACTTACTAACTTGATAGTAAGGGAAACAGCAAACAGTGCAGGTGTTCATTTACTACGGATAGCACAGAAAATAGCTGGATTTGTTCAAAATCAAATTTCCCTTGTAGGTAAAACAGGAAAGATTTGAAAATGTTCTTGAAATAATTTTTAAAAGTAGTAGTTGGTATTTTTCCAGGATGTTTGTTTGTTTACAAATTTAATTTTAAAACATATCTCTAAGATCAGCTCTTGTGGTCTTTAAAATTAAAGGCAAAATTTCTATTGACCATAGCAAAATAGGTCCACGACTAATCCTTCATGCTGGATGTAGCCTTGGCCTTATTAAAATCAGCTTGTTTTATCTCACTTAAGTGGAACCATCCTTCCTCAGTGCCCATAAATATCTGCTAAATATAAACAGTACACAGTTGCCTGGTGCACAGTACTAAGTAGCAGTATATAGTTCCAAAAATATTTCTTAGAAAGAAAAATGGTAGCCTTTCATTCTTATTTTGAGAAATTTTCTAGGAAGATTAAATATATACTTTAGCAGTAAATCCTTTGAAACACCATAGAAAGACCCAGTTCTCCTAGAAGCAACGTATGCAGCCCTTATAGGAGGGTAGAAGAGAACGTAAACACCATTAGTGTAAAAATGCAGCACAGCTGAAAAAATTGTTTTCTTAATATATGCACTAAGAGATCTGTTGTCAAATGAACAGAGAACAAAAAAAATCACTTGTGCAACTGTCAGATGTTCATTTTGAAATAACGGTTACTCTTTTAAACTTAAATAGAAGCATAAATAGTTGTTACCTTTCCATCAATAAAGATTAAGGTTTCGCCTTTAAAATATTTAAAGATGTTTACATGTTAATAAATCAAGAGCAGACACTAATAATTATAAAAAAGTATTCCTGATTTTATTTTAATATTAAACTTCAAATATATTACACAAATAACCCTGGTAAACCTAAACCAAGATCTTTAACATGAACTGTGTTTTATACGTTTGGACAGGAGCTTTCAGAATTCTTTTTTGGGTGCTTGTTAAAATCACATTGAAGTACTTCCTGGTTTCTCAGTCAGGTCCAAAATGGGAGATCTATAAAAGACAACTTAAGGTAATGCCCGCTTGCCACCTAGTTAGAGTAAAAAGCTTGCAGGTGGAGCTTATAAGGTTGCTAGAAAGGGAAGTGATTGTATTTGCTGCACCTGGTATAGGTGTGTATGGCAAAGAAGAAGATAAAACAGGAGCATCCAAAAAACTGTAACTTGGGAGGGAAGGGCTGGAATATCTTATTTGGAAGGTAGGTGTAGATTATTAGGTAGGTGGTGTTCTTTCAGTGTGATAGACCCTGTAGAGACATAAAAGTTAAGGGATTTATTGTGAGTCAGTCCTGCTCAGAGGAGTTCAGAGCCTGAGACTTGAATTACAAAGCCTGAAACAATAGCTGAGTGGCAAAATCTTGCTTAAAGAAGTGTGGTCCTTGCTGCTTGTTGGAGTGATAAGGACAGAATGGAGTCCTTCATGTAGAAAGGATGTGGAGAGGGGAAAAAAAAAAAAAAACAAAACTTGTATGAGCAACTAGGGATAGCAGATGATATTTGAAGTTTCTAAGCTGTAATGTATGATATTCAGGTATCTGGTGTAGACTCCTAGGTGGCTGAACTGAATGGCAGAAAACCAACAGGGAAGACCTGCAGCTCCCAAATGAGAGAGGTGTCTGCTGAGACTGTAAAATAGTTTCTTGTTAGGAGGGCAGGTGATGAGATGTTGAAATGTTGAACTAGCCATAGAAGATATCTGGAAGAGTGCATTGAGGTGATTTTTAGCCTCCTTCAACACTGTATGACTCAACTGACTGTGAGTATTGGGGAGGATGGAAGTTGCACAAAATTCATCTGCTACAAGCAGCAGAGGAATCTCTCCTGAAGTTCTAGTTGCATCACAGAAAAAGCAATAGGGATGCTCTTGCTGGCTGCAAATAACTGTGCTGAAAACTCAAGATGGTTAAAGTTAACTTATGTAAGACCACTTTTTAAAATTATTAGTATTGTGTAATGTCAAATGTCACCACGCTGGAAGCAACTAAGAATTAGTTTGAAAACCTAATTGTGACATTTGTCATTGCTCATTACAGCAGGTATCTTCTGTCACCTGTCTGTTCATGCATTAGCTAGAGGTTTTTTTTTCCAAGCCGGATAATCTATATAACAAATTTTTTTTCTTATCTTTATTACAGTGAAATTACTCCTTTATTTATTCCACCTTTTTTTCCAACAGCAATTTGGAGAGGGTATCTAAAATCTATGTAAACTAGTTCAAGGGCTGTTGGCTGATGATTAAAATATAGAGGTGTCAATATGTGTGTGGGAAGGTATAGCAAGTTTGTTATAACTTAAGATCCAACACTGAATTCATTATGTGTCTTCATTTTAGATGAAGGAGATGAGCTGTTTGCCACACCATGGCATTACAGAAGCATCTGTTAGGGAAGCTGATAAGGGTTTTGTTCTTTACGAGCTTAAATTCGGTACTGTCTTGTTGGCTGCTACCATGCAGTGATTGCTAATAGTGAAGTACAGGATTTTCTTCTTTGCTTTGTCTCTCCTACTTCTTAGCCTGTGGGTATGCTGAGAATCTAAAGTAAGGTGAAACACACATGTTGGATCATGCATTTATGGGGCCAGAGAGGTTCTTCCATTCCAGTCAAACTGCTGGCACTGCTTCTTCCTGATGAGCTGTGTCCCAACTACTTAGTCTGTCACTATGCCAACTCCACATGCTGAAGTCATCTGTTTTCCTCAGAGCCCACTGTGCTGCAGTGTTTCTACACTACTGCTACTGGAGGACACAACTTCTGTGTCCTCCCAAACCTCTGGAAGTTCTGCCCCAAACACTTTCTCTCTGGCATAATCCATCTATTTTAATGCAGCGGAGTAGCAATCTGTTTCATTTTCCAACTATTGCTACAGCAAAGATTATACTGTTCTAGTCACTGCAAGTCAGTCCTTTCGTTTCAGCTTATGAGCACTGTGCTTTAACTTCTATGAGTTTTTCCAAGTGTTCTGCAAGAAACTGAAAATGCTTTCAGGAGAGGTGTAGTCATACCGCTGTAAAGCGAACAAAATGCCAACCACTTACACTAATCTACTCAAACGTGTCTTAACAGTCTCTAAAGTGAAGTAAACGCTTTCCCTTGGACGAAATACGGACAAAATTCCTACTGTGTTTAATATCTTAGTACAGCACAGATTTGTATGTGGGTGGTAAGGGAGGGGACGTGTTTATTTCTACAGATACAGTGCAGCTCTAATCCAGGTAGCTTTAAGCTTTACCATTTAATGATACTCTTCAAGCAACTATCATTTGTACGCTACTGAACTGCAGTCTGTTCTGCTTTCACTCTGAACTGAAATTAATTTTACAAAACTTAGTAGCAAAAAAGCTTATGAGAACAAGAGGTGTTTTTATTAACTCATCATTCCCCTCATTTTAACTCAGTTTAGAGTGTGGTCACCCAAACTGTTATATCAACATGATGTAGGAATCTCTTTAAAACCAGCTTTATCAACCAGTGACTTGTATTATACAATCCTCTGGAGTGTTTTATCAGCTGGAGGAATAAACTTGATATTCAGGACTAGGACTCTTAAGAAGCAGACATAACTGCTTTTTTTCTTAAATGAGGGAGAAAGAAGCATTGTTTTCTTCTACAGTAATTCTGAATTGTAAGAATCACCTTTTTAACACAAGGGTCACTCAATCTGAAGAGATTCAGATCCACATTCCCACCTTCCAGGAAAGCTGCTAAGCAGAGGGCCACAAGCATGCCAACCCTCTTGCGAGATTAACAGAGCCAGAAGACTAGCACTCTGGGTGAATTCAGATACGGTGGTAATCTTTTAACTAAGCGCAGAGCACCTTTACTGGTGACAGCGCTTGAAGCAGAACAAAACAAGCTTCCCTTGGGCTACCTACTGAGGATGGGCAGCACAGTATGACTGCTTCATGGTGGAAGTTCCTCTCATCTTGACAACATCAAAACTTCAATGGGTGGCTTAGTAACTCTGACTTATTTGACTAGGTTATATCAATGGTATGTCTTCATGGCATTAGTCCAAGCACAGAGTTAGGTCAGTTACTTCAGCTGGGTCAGTTGGCCAGCTTTCATACGGAAGGAGCTTGGAGGAGAAAACAACTTTGCAGCTAATGATCTCATGCAAGCTGATGGCAAACCAAGTTATTTCTCCCTTTGGTTTTGTGGGAGGAGGAGGAGGGAGAGCAAAAAAAAAAAAAAAAAGTATTAGTTTGGAATATCTCAAGTGACAAACCCCAGAAGATAGGTGGAACTTAAATGATATGTCTTTGTAGGACACCTGCTGTGACATACGTTGGACTGAAATCCACATCCCAAAATAATATTTAGTGCATTTTATTACATTTCAATGCATTTTCATTAGATTCAAAAAAATTAAAAAAATCACTAAGACCAATTAATACAGTGAAGAGAACAAGTACTAACAATCAAGTGAAACTGAAGGTATTCAGCTACCAAGGGAACAGTTATTTTTAGCCCTAACACTTATATACTAATATTGAAAAGTCTCCCTTCTCAACTGAATTAGGAATGCCAGGCCAGGAAACTAGTTGTGTCAGGACTGGGCTCCTAACAGTGTGAGTCGCTATTTAGGGAGGTAAAAAAGAAACATTTAGCTTTTTTAAAAAACAAACAAACAAAAGAACCAACAACACGTGTTATAGCCCAAACTAGGTCAAGAATGGGGTCAGTGACATACTAAGGCCAAACATAACGCCCTCTCAGGGAAGATAAGAGCTAGATTCCTAGTGTTGATCATGCTGCAACAAACTTCCCTCATCTATTACAGCAGTAGCTTGAGGCCACTGGTTTGGAAGTCTAGTTATAACACCATAGTTTAGCTAGCTGTAAATAATCAAAGGCAGTTTCACATTTGGGAAAGGGATTATGGACATTCCTGGATGTAGAAAAAAGCAACAGAGCTTCTGGCATTTGGCAAATATTACTGCACTGTAAGAAACCCACCCAGATAGTACAGAAACTTTAGGAAATCAACCATCCAAGAGATGATGTAATAGGTCTCTTGCTTTTTGTTTTTTCAAAATCCTCAAAAGTGCAGCACTGCCCCCTTGTGTTACAAAGAAGAAAAACGAAGAGCATTTTTAATTTAGTGTTTAACTTCCAGTATACACTATAAATACTTAAAGACTCAAAAGAAATTCACATCAGAAAATGAGGAGAACAATAGTTAGACTCAATAAAACAGTGTTCTTAGTATGAGTGTACAGGGTTTACAAAGGATGCTTTTTTAAATAGTGTCACAAAATGCTTCCATTTATAACAGCCATCATTAATCTTTCTTTTAAAAAAGGCACTAAATCCATAAGCAGTTCAAAAATCATTAGGAAACTGAAGAGAAATGCTGTCATCCATATATTTGAATACCTAGTCAAGAAAAACTTTCTGTATGAAGACAGAAGTTTTAACTGCACAGCTTGAAATAAACATCAAAAACAAGCGGTCACCTGAACTGTGCCTAAGCTGGTCAAAGACAGACATCAACTGACAAGACGGCATACACTGACTGACTACAGGTAAGGAGGTCACTTCTGCATGAGAACGCTTATCTCACTGCCTTGCTGAGGAAGCAATAAAACATGCACATCAAACGAAAAACAAAAATTGGCCAAAACTCCATGTTCAGAGGCTTGAGTCCTTAGCTTTCTTAGTAAACGCTTCCACCGTCTGCCCTGCTACAATGGCAAAGTACTGTTGAGTCTTCATACAAAAGCCACAAACAGCAAAAGCCATGTGAAAAGTGCTGCTCAGCTGCAGAAACTGGCAAGTTATTGGCAGTAAACATCAATCCTCTTCTGCTCAGAAGTCATACTCTTTACCCAACCTGCCACTAAAGGGAAAAAAACAAAACAAAAAACCACACGGTTATGCAGAGGCAGAAAAAAAACCCCAAACACACCAAATGGTTGTGTAAAGACAACCAACTCCCCAGCCTATCGTAGTTCAGCTGTCATATTCAACAACTGATGGAGGTTCAGCCCACGAGCCATAGCTTATACAAACTCCCTTCCCAGAGTCAAACAGAGCAGGGAGGGGAAATGATTAAGGCCTTATGAAGCCTGTATCTAAACTGGATGCGTGCACTGTCCTGAGGAGATTCTGCTTCTCAATTAAATCGCCACCTGGCCTTCTGAGACAAAGTTTACTTCAGGGAAGGAGTAGCAGGAGTAGTAGAAAGGTTCATCAGTACACATGTCAACACTGCAGGGCTTTTGTGAGGAGATTTATACATGAAATCCAAAGCTATGCAGCTCCTTAGTTCAAACATTCTCTCCTCACTCGAAGCTTATAGAAAATCTCAACTAGTAGTAAAAAGGGGCGCTGAGTACAGGTCAACTCGATGAGGAGGATCCCCAGTGCTGCCAGTATGATAAAACTGGAGAGATTTGGATGCACTGCTGATGCAGGAATCGGAGAGAAAGAAAAACTGGAAGCTCTCTGCCATCCTTATGTCCTAGAAATAAAATCTCACTGAAAACACTGTGATGAAAACACGCTTCCATTTCCATTCCTTTTGGTTCTTCCTTGGGTTACCAGTTTTGCAGATGATATATATCAACATTATATTCACTAAGAAAATGCCACTTTATTAAGACAGTTGTATCATATTAACTTGTTTCTCTTTTAAACTTACTCTCAATCCTCCTCCTTCTCCTCCTGAACCTGAAGCTGCAATTCTTTTCTCTAGTTCTTCTTGCTTCTTTTTCTTTTGCTCTACAGAATAAACATTCTTAATACCGCGAGAGGAAGCCTGGGAAAAAATACATTTGAGGAAGACCAGTTAATTATTTTTTGGACAGAAACAAAACTGGAAGTTTTGTTGGCAACACCACTTTGTGAATTTTTGTTTTTGAGATAAATTTGAAACAGTAACTCAAGCTACTGTTGTGTAAAACTGGGCCTTTCAGGATATTTTTTTCATACTGTAAACTCTTGGTTCTGTAGCTATGTGAGGGTGTTTTTAATTTTATATTACTACTATATCCAGGTGAACATACTTTAACACAGTTAAGTGCACCTGGTTCACAGTCCAGATTTTGAGCCAGAACTTCCCATCCCAAAAGCCCCCCAAATTTTTATACTGTTTTTTTCCAGTGTTAGGGGTTCCCCATTCTTGTCCTTAAAAACAGAGCTAACCGGGAAAAGATGATTCAGGCAGTTAGGATTTCCAAGAACCCAAGCTGTTCCGTGATCTCATCACTTCTCCATCCTCTTATCAAACGGCTGCCTGGAGGTAGGACACATCTGATAGAAACTGTAGTGAGGTTTTCTATTCTAACATTGAATAAGTGGATGAGAGAAGGTCACAAACTCTGCAGAGTTACTAGAGAAATCAATGGGAATTTTACATGCATGAGAAAAAAAAATGGTCCCATTATTATTGCTAACCTAGGCTGTGAGAAACCCAAGGTTAAATCCTGGTCTGTGACAAATATCCTAAGTGATGATCTACCCTTCAAACTCCATATGCATGTGTGGATAGCAGCACTGTGTCCTGTAGAAGTGCTCAAATGAGCAACCTATTAACTGACTGCTACCATGGGAAAACAGAAATGCCATCACTTGAAATCCAAGGCACTGATGATGAGCACAATTCACCTTACACTACTAAGATAAAACTTATCAATGAACAGTAAATTACTTAGACCCCATAATTTCTAGTTTTTAGGCGTTCTGAGTGAGCAAGGTAACCAGACACACTCTACAGCACACCAAAAAGGAAGTTCATGCTGAACAGAGAGTAGTTAAGAAGCATGCACAGGAGAACACTAAGCAAAGAAAGACATCTGGTATACTACCTTTCCCCTCCCAATGAGGAAACCGAATTAGGCTGCTGGCAAGCTATTTCTGTTACTCAACATTCAGAGGCCAAAACTCTCTCAAAGACAGTCCTGAAAAGTTTCGGTAGATGCTTACCTCTTTGTCTTTAAAGGAAAAAAAAAGTAAGAGAGAGAGTAATACTTATCTCTTTAGTAGCTTAATGGCTACCACAGAACTTCAAAACCATCCATACATTGCTTCAGATTTCCTTCCTCCCAGGAAAGGGTTTTAGCAACTTAAGATCTAGATGAGGACACTCCACTTTTACACACTTCTCAGGAAGTGTATTTTAAATAGCTATTCTTAAAAAAAAAAACTTTGAGATTTAAGGAAATTACATATGGAATGCTTTTAATAAGTAGCCTGATACAAAGCTAAGTGTTTTTACAGGACTCCGAGGTGTCACTCAGCTGTTGCTACAGCCATTAGAACCAGATCAATGTGCTCCTCATCAATAATGATGAATTTTTTATTTGACATATAAAATCACTAACACTCATACAAATAACTCTTCACAGTTCAGCTGTATTTCTTTAAGATTTATTTTCTGCTGGTTTTCGATTTTGTATGTTAAAAACTTTTTTTAGAGAAGGCTGGAAAGGAAGAAACAGGCTAAGGCACTTGCTTCAAATGTGATGAATTTCCCTCTTCTAACTGTCATTTCTTTTCTCCTAGAACATTTGCATCCTACCTTTTCTAACTTTAAGGATATTGAAGTAGCTAAAGCTTAGAAACCTTAAAAAAAGAACAAGTTCGTATACTCCTTTGTCTTTACTGAGATTGGATCCATAAAACTTGCTCAATTGTTTCTATACTAAGAAATGGAACTTACAAGTGCCCACAATCTGCATTTGTAAAAGTAGTAAAATGCATTACCACTTGAAATTACCAACAAAACAATTGTATGAGAAATATTTAAAAGTAGAGTTGTGTATCTCTTGTTTTCAGGTCTTATCAAAAAAGAACGGTAAACTTACTCTTCAATGCTTAGATTGTTTTCTAACTATTGTAAACCTTTTTCCACCAAAACAAGCTCAACTGTCTTGCAATGATATTCAAATACCTCACTTTGAAAATCTATGGCAAATAAATACATAAATACAGGTCCAATATTAGTACTTTGAAAATATTTAATGATCTCTTGCCTACAATCCATGCATACTATCAACCTGCGTTCCTGCAAGTCTTCACTATTTTCCACATAAGCTAGTTGTTACCTAAGCATATTCTGACTAAATGGCATTTTAACAAACATTACCTCCATCTGTCTCTTTTCGGCAGCTTCTGCTAGCTGTCTTCTTTTTATTTCCTAAATAAAAAGTGAAAGACAGTGAAATTCTTCAATAAATAGTCTGCACATTTTTTATGAAGTCTGAATTTTTAAATGACTCAGATCTGTTCTTAAATACTCAGAACTGTAACGTGAACTGTCAGAAAATGCCATCCTTAAGTCAATAAACATCATCTTTCCCTCCATTACCAGTCTGTAAGAACAAAATGTTTTTAATGACTAATATGCTGCAAGAGTAGCTGCCGACTTATCTGCAGTCAACCCCCACCAGCAGTCTGTATTATGCTGTCTGTACAACGCCTTCACTCCAAAAAATTCAAGCTGCAAAGAGAAGGGGGCATGACGCATGAAACTTCTGGTGTATGAAAAAAGAAAAGGCAGAGCTTTCAGGGTGAAGCTGCTTTGTGTTCTTCTTCCACCCGATAAAAATCTCAGGGGAGGGGTTCAAATACGTGGAAACTGGTAACTATTCCCATTTTGTTTACGGAGCAACTACAGCCAGGTTTGTGACTGTGCAGGGCAGACGTCGCTACCCGCGAGCAAATCAGAAGCAAGCATCGCTGCCGAGGAGCTGAAGTGCGTTTCCCCCCCGCCCCCCCCTTTCCAGTTAAGATCAGCGCCATCCCGTCCTCGGTT